CTTATTAGGAATATCATGTCACAAACTGTAATCACTGGGAAGATGGTATTACTATCATGAGAGGAATTTGCAGTATCAGAGATGATTTACGTGCTACAAACCTGTCTGGATGAAGAACAGAAGCCCTTTACAGATAAGCTTTTCCCTGTATGCATTACAGATGCTGCTTTTCAGTTTTGGATGAGCACCTTTAACCACAGACTATAGTGAAGAAGACTCTAAAAAGTAAGCATTCCTTTTTTTGAAACTGTAGGATTTTTTTTATTAAAGCTGGTTCACTCAGAATCTGGTGCACCTTTGTATGGTAGCCAATCAGCTTCAAACCTCAGCTTGTTAAATTAAGCTTTAGCAACAAAACTTGAAAGTTGATTGGTTTCTTCACAGAAGTGCACGAGATTCTGAGTGAACCAGCTTTAGTAAATAAACCCCTATATATAGTTAGCACCTGACTTGTGAACTTTAGCATGAAGCAATGCCATATTTCTGCAATGGGCATGGACACGCAAAGCTCAAAAACAAGCCATGTGAAACTGTATTTAAAAGAGATATTAAAATAAGTTGTATTTAGTCAGCTCTAGTTCGAGAGTTCTTCAGTACTGCAGTGATTTGGTAGTTAATTTGTTTGAAAAAGAAAAGCTGTTGAAAATACATTTGTTTCATTTTCACTTTTATAGTCTATGTTTTTTCTGTCCTATGTCACTCAGTGCTATGATTTGCACTTTTTATTAAAATATTGTTTAAACTACATATCCAAATAACTCCCTTAGAGGCTGAGGAAATCCTTTGTACAAACATTATATATATATATATATAATTATATATACAATATATATATATATATATATATATATATATACAGTGGGGATCGAAAGTTTGGGCACCCCAGCTAAAAATTTGTATTAGGGCTCGTTCACACTTGGCTGTTTTACCAACGCTTGCCAAACGCCCCTATAGCGTTGGGCAAGCGTTGGTCCGGCGTTTGTGGGGTGTTATTAACGCTCGGCAAATGCTCCGCAAACGCCGCATGCGCGGTTTAGTGGCGGTTGCTAGGCGTTTGCCGAGCGTTAATAACGCCCCACAAACGCCTATAATACAGTTTGAGTGGTGTTACCGCTCTGCAAACGCCCCGCAAACGCGTGGCAACCGCACCGCAAACGCCGGCCGGGCATTTGCGGAGCGGCACCATAGACGAGAATAGGAGGCTTCAAAGCCTCCTGACTCGACCAGAGGCATCCGTTTTGCCGCGACGCGACGCAAACGCTCCCGTTAGAACAGCACCATGTGCTGTAATGTGCAGAATTGGCAGAGGCGTTTGGGAACGCTTCCCAAACGCCTCTCTGCCGCCTGCACACAAGGCTAGTGTGAACGTAGCCTTAATGTGCATAAAGAAGCCAAGGAAAGATGGAAAAATCTCCAAAAGGCATCAGATTACAGATTAGACATTCTTATAATATGTCAACAAAAGTTAGATTTTATTTCCATCATTTACACTTTCAAAATAACAGAAAACAAAAAAATGGCGTCTGCAAAAGTTTGGGCACCCTGCAGAATTTATAGCATGCACTGCCCCCTTTGCAAAGCTGAGACCTGCCAGTGTCATGGATTGTTCTCGATCATCGTCTAGGAAGACCAGGTGATGTCAATCTCAAAGGTTTTAAATGCCCAGACTCATCTGACCTTGCCCCAACAATCAGCACCATGGGTTCTTCTAAGCAGTTGTCTAGAAAACTGAAACTGAAAATAGTTGACGCTCACAAAGCTGGAGAAGGCTATAAGAAGATAGTAAAGCGTTTTCAGATGTCAATATCCTCTGTTTGGAATGTAATTAAGAAATGGCAGTCATCAGGAACAGTGGAAGTTAAAGCAAGATCTGGAAGACCAAGAAAAATATCAGACAGAACAGCTCGTAGGATTGTGAGAAAAACAATTCAAAACCCACGTTTGACTGCACAATCCCTCCAGAAAGATCTGGCAGACACTGGAGTTGTGGTACACTATTCCACTATAAAGAGATACTTGTACAAATATGGTCTTCATGCAAGAGTCATCAGAAGAAAACCTCTTCTACGTCCTCACCACAAAAATCATCGTTTGAACTTTGCAAATGAACATATAGACAAGCCTGATGCATTTTGGAAACAAGTTCTGTGGACCGATGAGGTTAAAATTGAACTTTTTGGCCGGAATGAGCAAAGGTACGTTTGGAGAAGAAGGTGCACAGAATTTAATGAAAAGAACCTCTGTCCAACTGTTAAGCATGGGGTTGGATCAATCATGCTTTGGGGTTGTGTTGCAGCCAGTGGCACAGAAAACATCTCACGAGTAGAAGGAAAAATGGATTCAATAAAATTTCAGCAAATTTTGGATGGTAACTTGATGCCATCTGTGAAAAAGCTGAAGTTAAAGAGAGGATGGCTTCTACAAATGGATAATGATCCTAAACACACCTCGAAATCCACAGGGGAATTACATCAAGAGGCGTAAACTGAAGGTTTTGCCATGGCCTTCACAATCTCCTGACCTCAACATAATTGAAAATCTATTGATAGACCTTAAAAGAGCAGTGCGTGACAGACAGCCCAGAAATCTCAAAGAACTGGAAGACTTTTGTAAGGAAGAATGGGCAAAGATACCTCAAACAAGAATTGAAAGACTCTTGGCTGGCTACAAAAAGCGTTTACAAGCTGTGATACTTGCCAAAGGGGGCAGTACAAGATATTAACTCAGCAGGGTGCCCAAACGTTTGCAGACGCCATTTTTTTGTTTTCTGTTATTTTGAAAGTGTAAATGACGGAAATAAAATCTCACTTTTGTTGACATATTATAAGAATGTCTAATCTGTAATTTGATGCCTTTTGGAGATTTTTCCATCTTTCCTTGGCTTCTTTATGCACATTAATACAAATTTTTAGCTGGGGTGCCCAAACTTTTGATCCCCACTGTATATATATATATATATATACATATATACACACTCATTGGCTACTTTATTAGGTACGCCTGTTCAATTAGGCATCTGGACATGGTGAAGACAACTTGCTGAAGTTCAAACCAAGCATCAGAATGGGGAAGAAAGGGGATTTAAATGAATGTGGCAAGGTTTGTTGGTGCCAGATGGGCTGGTCTTAGTATTTAAAAAACTTCTGATCTACTGGGACTTTCACGCACAACCATCTCTAGGGAAATCGAGACTCATCAGACCAAGCAAAATTTTTTCAATCTTCTATTGTACAATTTTGGTGAGCCTGTGTGAATTGTAGCCTCCGTTTACTTTTCTTGGCTGACAGGAGTTACCCTCGATGTGGTCTTGTGCTGCTGCTTCAAGGTTCAACGTGTTGTGCAATCAGAGATGGTATTCTGCATACCTTGATTGTAAAGAGTGGTTATTTGAGTTGCTGTTGTCTTTCTATCATCTTGAACCATCAAGGCATTTCTTGTCCATACAACTGCCATTCACAGGATATCTTTTCTTTTTTTGACCATTCTGTGTAAAGCCTAGGGATGGTAAAAAACTTTCTGTGTTCTGCTCCCCCCACAGCCCCCCTGTTACTCACCTGAGCCTTCTCCAGCAATGTGCACGGGAGCCTCAGCTGCCCCGGATCTCTCTCTCCTCATTGGCTGAAACACAGCAGCTGGAGCCATTAGCTCCCACTTTTGTCAGTTACAGAGAGAGTGGGTGGCTGGGTTGAGCCATGGATGCATAGAGAGGGGCTTGGGAGCAAGTACGGGCATGTGCCTCCATAGCAAGCAGCTTACTATTGGGGGCATTGGTCAAGGGGGAGGAGCCAGGAGCGCTGGTGGGGGACCCAATAAGAGAAGGATTGGGGCTGCTGTGTGCATAATCATTGCACAAAGAAGATGTGTATGACATGAAAACAAAAATCTTTAATATCGCTTTAAGCTTTGAATGGATGAACAGTAAAATTGTTGAAGAAAATTAACTATTTTGTTATGTATCTATTATAAAGAATTTAAATTGGACATGAGGAGGCTGAGGGACAGTACTTTGCTGGAGCATGGGTTAGAGCCATCTGCCGAGGGAGCGAGGGATTGGGTCAGTAAAAGTGCCTATATAGTCCCCTAGACTAAAATGAGCAGCTAACCTTTGCAATGCGGACACAGCCTCACTGCAAGGGGAAATCTTCAGGATCCCTGGAGTTAGGCTTTAAGAGTGGCTGTAGACATGTTTTAAAGGTTGGATGACATCTGGTGTGGCTCAAGCCAATTTTGGGAGAATAAGTGGAGGAAGTAAGTTCCCGAATCCTGAATCCTATAAACTGTCAAATTAAAAATGCGATATTCAGATATCAATTCCTAACTTTATTTTAAGGGAAACATCTCCCCCTCTGCTACATGGCTCACCTGAATCATAGATATGTGATTTGTGGTAAGTACTTCTGTAGATTATATAGCATATTATTAGTTTCCACATTTGGCCATTGTTATATTAGTGGATCTGAATAGTTGACAGGTCCATCTACAGCAGATATTAGATGCCCATGATCGCCATACATTTTACAAATTTGAAGGTTTGACTGGATCTTATAGTTTACCAAAATTAATATTTAATTAACATTGTGAACACTTCAAAGTATAGTTCCAATTTTGCAGTCAGACTTGCAAACACCCATATTAGGTTTTTTACGAGTTCCCAATCTTGCAGCATGCCTACAATGAAAAAATATGTTTTAGTTTTCTTATTGCTTCCTTGGAGTATGTTTATACAGGACTGCAAGACTGCAGTCTGTCCCCACTCTGCACAGTTGCACAAATGTTGAGATCTTTAACCATTTTTAGGACAAACAGTGTCCATTTCTAGTTTATAACTGATATTGGAGAATTGTACATACAGAATTAAGAACAGCAAACATACAGTAAACTCCAAAGCCCCCTCCTTAACATTACCTAGAAGGAAAAGTTGGGTATGATTTTTAACCACATCCCATCTGGCCGTAGTATATAAACGGCCGGACGGTGGCACTGCAGGGTCGGGTGGCCGTTTATAAATGGCCTCCCTGCACCCTACTTGTGCACGCTCCCAGGGAGCACGCAGCACCGAGATCCAGTGCCCGCTGTACCCTCCGGACACAGTGAAACACAGATCGATTATGTGATCACTGATTGGCCAATCAGTGATCACATGCAGAGTAGTAGGCAAGATGTCACTTGTGACATCATTGCTTACTACATGTGAAATCTGCAAATGATCACAGAGGTCACATGGTACAAGGCTATTCACAACAGTCTTGTACCATGTGACAAGCTGTGACCAATCACAGCTCACTCAGTAGTTCTCAATGGCTACAAGAATGAAGACAGCGAGAAAGAGAAATGATTGCTTTTACATCCTATATGGGTGTAAAAGCAATCAGTGTAAAAAAAAAAAAAAAAAATAAAATCTTCATCACCCCCCCACAAGTAGTTGTCACCATGGTGACACTGTAGTGCTAGGGTGACAGTATGTAAAAAAAAAAAAAAAAAAAAAATGTAGTAATATATGAAAAAATGTAAAAAAAAGTTTAAAAATTATAATTTTTGGTTATAAACTAATTTGGGTTATTTTTTTTTACTAAAAAGATAACAGAATAAATTTTGGCCAAGATTTATGATGAAATATTATTTATTTGCAAAATGTTATAAGAAAAACAATTTTTTTTTTTAAATTTTTGTACATTTCATTTACATAGCAAAAAAAATAATCCCAGCGGTGAATAAATACCACCAAAATAAAGCTTTATCTGTCTCAAAAAAATGGTAAAAAATTCATATGGGTACAGTGTTGCATGACCGCGCAATTGTCATTCAAAGTGTGATAGCAGTGAAAGCTGAAAATTGCCCTGGACAGGAAGGGGGTAAAAGTGTCCAGCCAGGGAGTGGTTAAGCACATATAAAGCAAGTAAAATGGTAATCAGCAGTTTAGCGTATTGTAATAAATAAAAAGTAGGTGTTGTCACAATTTGGCTGCAAAAGTGGAAATGCAATTTAAGACAGTTACTTAAAGTAGAACTAATTGAAAAAGTTATTCTTCCATTTTGGAGAAAAGGGTTATAACTCTATGTTTTTTTTTGCCTTCTGTGTCCCATTGACTGATTTCTCTTAACGTCCTATACCACAGTGCTAATAAGAATTGAGAGAAAATCCCTCCAAAGTGAGGGAATCCGTGGTTGTCACAAGTTTCACCAGGACTTGTGTTCCCAAGGGAAGATTTTTCCTCTTTTCCTTTTCTGGTGACAACCCAAAATTTTAGATTTTCTTTTACTTTCACTCTTTGTGGTAATGTTAAACATGACAAATAGAGAGAGTAAAATCACAAGGACAAAGCAATCAATAAAAGCCTGACAGATATTCAAATCCCTCTCCATTCTATCCAAAAAAAATGTGACATTTTGCTTTACTTTTTGATCTACACATGACTGGATAATTGAAAGATATATTAACACAATTTATTGTGTGAATACTCTCAACCCCTTTAGTTGATCAGTTAATCTGTATACTTTAAAAAAAAACTTTAGACTTTTTAATGTCCATTTTTATACATATTAATCAGCTAGTTTTCTTTGTTTTTGGGAAAATGTTTCCTCTTAGGTAAATCAAAGTAAAAGAGCATGTAGATTTGTATTTAATGTATTCTTACAATTTCATAGTGCTTTATAGTTTATTCACAGGGTGCATGTTGTGTATGTTGGGAAAGACATAGGGGTTGATGTACTAAAACTGGAGAGTGCAAAATCTTGTGCAGCTCTGCATAGAAACCAATCAGCTTCCAGGTTTGTTTGTTTATTTTTTCTTGTCAAAGCTTAATTGAACAAGCTGAAGTAAGAAGCTATTTGGCTACAGTTCACAGCTGTATCAGATGTTTCACTCCCCAGTTTTAGTAAATTAGCCCCAAACTGTATCAAACTGAATTTCCATTTGTTTTAAATAAAGGATTAGTGTTTTTTTCAGAATGGTCATTGAATTATTACCATATAATTGGTATTTTTGTCTATATAGCTTATCATTATCACAATTGATCTTACATGATGGGTCCCTTATAGTGTTGGATTGGTAATATAGTTGCGAGATATGACCTTACAGCTCCAAAGAATTTCATCAACACCTTGTGGCACCCTTGTTTTTCAGTACTTGTTTACAATTTAAATAGCTTTAGGTTGTCTGTCCCATCCCCCAAATACATGTGAGCGTGCCTTTGTCCTGTAAGCTCTTATGAAGGGTTCTTTAACTTTCTCATTACATCAGACAACAAAGCCAATTAGACCCTTTCTCAGAGAGCTCTTTGTTTATGTCTGTGCCAATGGCAATTTTAAGTTAAAATGGTTCTTACAGCAGATTTTACAGGTTAATTGTACCTTTTTCAGGGTTCACTAAAAAAGCAGACTTCTGGGGATTTATGTGTACATTGGAGATCCTTCTTTGGGCAGTTACAAAAACACAACATGCAGAACATAGTTCCTTGATTGTACTGCTTGTGATTATTTACATTTTCCTTATTTATGATGCTTTCTCTAAACGATAAAAAAATTAAAGTTTTCAAAGTAGTATATGTGTTTGTGATTACCTATATGTTGGTAGGGCCACTTGTAGACTACATTAGCAGTACTTGTCAAATGAGAAGGACACAGGAGCACATTTTAGAGAAAGTTGTAACCCCATAACAGGAGTGCCTGAACAAGGACCTTCTTGACAGTATATCACTAAGTATTATTTTAACTAAATCAGCAATATAAAAAGATTGAAAGCAACATTTAATTTACATTAACATGTTAAGTTGCATATAATAGTTTAGTCCTTGGGTTTGGATCTACCTTAAATAATATGTAAACCCAACATTTTATATTCCTGATATATGCCTGCTATACCATGTACTTGTATGAAATATCATCCTGTTCTCTTTGTATTGCATCCTTTGTGTAAAATCTCTAGTATTCCTGCAGTCCCTTAGCTTCCCTATTAAAACTGGCCACACTAGGCATGAGAGCAAAGTGTGGTCAGTTCTCTAACTGTGCTGGAAACTCAGAGTGCTCTGCTCCATTAATCAGTCTTCTCCTGACACCTCCAACCCTCACCCTCTTCCTGCACAGCCTTTTACTGGGACGTTCAGTGTGCTGCTGTTTCTCCTCCCCTAGATCTCTGCGCTCAAGCTCAAGGAGCTTGGAGAGGATGTGATCACTTAAAAAACAGGAAAAAAAAAAAGTATTTATAATTTTTTTATATCTAAAATATAAATGAAAGGCAAAACATTTGTGTATAAATTGAATGGGTGGTTGCTTTACAAGGTGAGGGTTTACATATACACTGCTCAAAAATATTAACCACTTGCCTACAGGGCACTTATACCCCCTTCCTGCCCAGGTCAATTTCCAGCTTTCAGTGCTGTCACACTTTGAATGACAATTGCGTGGTCATGCAACACTGTACCCATATGAAATTTTTATCTTTTTTTTGTGACAGATAGAGCTTTATTTTGGTGGTATTTAATCATCTCTGGGTTTTTTTTTTTTTCTTAAACAAACCAAAAACCACTGAAAATTTAAAAAAAAAAAGTTTTTTTCTTAGTTTTTGTTATAAAATTTTGTAAATAAGTGATTTTTCTCCTTCACTGATGTGCATTAATGAGGCTGCAGTGATGGGCACTGATAGGTGGCACTGATGGGCACTGATAAGGAGGCACTGGCTGGTGGCATTGATGGGCATTGACAGGCATCACTGATGGGCACTGAAAGGCCGCACTGATATATGGCACTGATAGGTGGCATTGTTAGGTGGCACTGACTGGCACTGTTAGGCGGCACTGAATGGCACTGATAGGCGGCACTGATAGGCGGCACTGATGCGCACTGATAGGCGGCACTGACTGGTACTGATAGGTGCCACTGATTGGCAACACTGATAGGTGGCACTGATTGACATTGATAGGTGGCACTGACTGGCACTGATGGGTGGCACTGAAAGGCAGCTCAGATGGGCACTGATATGTGGCATTGATGTGCACTGGTAGGCACTGAAATGTGGCATTGATGTGGCACTGATGGGCACTGGCACATGGCACTGATGAGCACTGACAGCTGGCACTGATGGACACTGACAGGTGGCACTGCTGGGCTACACTGATCATCAGGGCACACTGATCATCAGTGCTCTGATGATCAGTGTAGATGTCCCCTCCACAGAATGCCGATTACCAGCTCTCCTCTCCTCTCGAGCTGTCAGCGTGACAGCTCGAGAGGAGAGAAATGCCAATAACACAGCTGATCACATGACCGAGCCAACATCTTTGGCTCTTTCCGTGGATCGGTGATCCGCTGTGTCCGAGGGACACAGCGCACCACCGATCGCCGTGCTGCGTGCTCCTGGAGCCGCGGATGCGCGGTGAGAATGGGAGGATGTCATATGACGTCCTCCCAGAACGAGAGAACCACCTTGCGCCCGTCATTGTACTATATGGTGGGCGGGAGGTGGTTAAAGGAACACTTTTTAATCAGAGTGTAGCATTAAGTTAATTAAACTTCTTGGATATTGATCTGGTCAGTTAAGTAGCAGAGGGGGTTGTTAATCAGTTTCAGCTGCTTTGGTGTTAATGAAATTGACAACAGGTGTACTAGATGGGCAACAGTGAGACAACCCCAAAAACAGGAATGGTTCTACAGGTGGAGGCCACTGACATTTTTTTCCTTACTCATCTTTTCTGACTGTTTTCACTAGTTTTGCATTTGGCTAGGGTCAGTGTCACTACTGGTTGCATGAGGTGATTCCTGGACCCTAAAGAAGGTAAACAGGCAGTCTTACTCCTCCAGGATGGCACATCAATACGTGCCATTTCCAGAAGGTTTGCTTTTGTCTCCCAGCACAGTCTCAAGAGCATGGAGGAGATTCCAGGAGACAGGCAGTTACTCTAGGAGAGCTGGACAGTACCGTGGAAGGTCCTTAACCCATCAGCAGGACCAGTATCTGCTCCATTGTGCAAGGAGGAACAGGATGAGCACTGCCAGAATCCTACAAAATGATCTCCAGCAAGCCACTGGTGTGAATGTCTCTGACCAAACAATGAGAAACAGACTTCATGAGGGTGGCCTGAGGGCCCAACGTCCTCCAGTGGGCCCTGTGCTCACTGCCTGGCATCATACAGCTCGACTGGCATTTGCCATTGAACACCAGAAGTGGCAGGTCTGCCACTGGTGCTCTGTGCTTTTCACAGATGAGAGCAGGTTCACCCTGAGCACATGTGACAGATATGAAAGGGTCTGGAGAAGCCGTGGGGAACATTATGCTGCCTGTAACATCATTCAGCATGAGCATTTTGGTGGTGGGTCAGTAATGGTCTGGGGAGGTAAATCTATAGAGGGATGCACAGACCTCTACAGGCTAGACAATGGCACCCTGACTGCCATTAGGTATCGGGATGAAATCCTTAGACCCTTTGTCAGACCCTACACTGGTACAGAGGGTCCTGGGTTCCTCCTGGTGCATGACATTGCCCGCCTCATGTGACAAGAGTATGCAGGCAGTTCCTGGAGGATGAAGGAATTGATACCATTGAATAGACCCAACGCTCGCCTGACCTAAATGCAATAGAACACCTTTGGGATATCATGTTTCTGTCTATCCAACACCACCAGGTTGCACCTCAGACTGTCCAGGAGCTCAGTGATACCCTGGTCCATATCTGGGAAGAAATACAAGTACATGGGGGCCATTCAAACTACTGAGTACCAGTTTGAGTTGCTGGAATGAAATTTCAGCAAAAGGGACTAGCCTGCTGCATCATTTTTTAATTTAGATTTTTGGGGTGTCTTTGAATTTCAGTCCTCTGTAGGTTGATAATTTTCCTTTCCATCAAACAATGGGGCATCCTTACGTTCCTAACCCAGTCCATAAGTCAAATATGCCAAAAGACCCTGCGCATGGGTGTAGAGGGCTGAAGACAGAGAAGTGAAGTGGAACCCAAATGTATGCAAGAAAATATACGGATAGGCCAATCCTTGCTGCTCCCATGTACGACAGCGGAAGTCAGATATAATTGCAGAAAGAGATGGAAACAAGAGCGCACTGGCCTAGCGCATTATCCCAGATAACAATTTATTGAATAATAGTTAAAATGTACTCACAAACAAAAGATGATAAATAGCATATCATATGACAGTCACTTGATACATGCTCCATATGGCACTAAAGGTCCCGACATGAAAGTAGTGCCATCCAAGAGCCAAAGAAAGGCTAATGTGTTTCAAGGGAAACCCTCTCCCTCAAAGGCCTGGTTTTTCAGAGCCCGCATTTTCCCTCGAAATGTGTTAGTCTTTCTTTGGCCCTTGGATGGCACTTCTTTCACATCGGGACCCTTGGTGCCATATGGAGCATGTATCAAGTGACTGTTATATGATACGCGATTTGTCACCTTTTGTTTACGAGTACATTTTAACTATTATACAATAAATTGTTATCTGGGATAATGCGCTAGGCCATTGCCCAGTCCATATCAGTATAGATATCCAGCATGATATTTTTCCCCAATTGAGATCTGATTTGTTTTCAAAGTGTTCCTTTCATTTTTTAAGCCGTGTACTTTAATTATGGATTTTTTAAATAGAAACATAGAAGAGTATCGTCAGAAAAAGTTGTCCATTGAGTCTGCCCCATTTTTTTAATTTATAGATTTTTTTTGTTAACTTCCTTGTTTGAGTATAGATCTATGTTTGTCCCAAGCATGTCTGAATCCAGTTACTGTTGACTGATTCACAATCTCTGCTGGAAGTCTATTCCCAACATCAACTACTAATACAGAACTGCATTAATTACTTTTAAGACTGTCTGGAGTTCAGCATTAAAATCATAGATTGGAAACCCAATAGTATCTTGTGATTTGTTATCTTAGGTAACACCTTGATTACATGCAGAGTATTTTTTTACTAATAGGGATCAGAGTATTCAAATCAAATACAATGTGGTTTTATTAACCAAAATAAAAGTACCAGATATGAAGCTGCAAACTTTAAGATACATATTTCCTATAAAGATGGCCTGTCAGTTTTCACTAGCTTTTGGTGTACACCAAACCTAATGTCCATCTCATTCCTGGTAGAGAGTCATAAAGTTGGAACTGGCACTATGCACACAAAGCCATCTTAAAGGGAAAATCAGCCTTTTGTTTGAATACAATCAGTACCACTGTCAGTGAGGTCAGCATCCCAGAATCCGCAACATGGCATCACTGCCAGCCTAGCTGATTGTATTCAGCAAATCAACCCCAGAAACAGCATTAAGCTGATTATCCCTGAAGGCAAGGGAGATGGATGGAGTGCAGTACTTCAGTAATGTGAGCATACTGTATGGGTTTTGTTCGGATCATAATTTAGTTTGTGTGTATGTATAAAATTACTAATCAAGGTCCTTACAGGTTAACTTTAAAATAATGTTTTATTTTCATAAGCATAAGAGAATTTTCAAGATACAACAAATAACAATTACGTCTACATTTGTTCTTGTTACTGTTTTATGTCTTTTTGTGTAAAAACGTAGAGGATTATTTTTCCTGTTTTACATTATAAAATCAATTATGTATGTTTTACATACACTTCTTCAGCCACTGTGAACTCAGATGACATCTCTCTGTAGGCTGCCTACAATGCATGCAATTTGAAATATGTTCAGTATTACCAAACAGAGTACACTACGATGTAAAACTGTTTCTGTTTCGGTACATAGTCTGTAAATCCAATAATAAGTGGGTACTAAAGTGTAACTTTAGGGGCCATTTTTAACAGCAGAAAAATATGGGCAAATTTGTTCTGTACAGATTTTCCTGTAATTCAGCTGTATATTTGGAATAGTAGTTTTAAATGTCCCTACTGGCAATATTAGAGTGCAAATGGAGGTTTCCACATGTGGAAGTAATTATCTGATTGGTAACTATATGGTTAAGTGCCAAATTTGATTTTAGATGTGTATTTTATGAATTTTGCACTACAGTAAGGGAAATTGTTTTAAATGTCTTGTGTCAGCTATCAAAGTAGCACCAGAAAAATCCTAGTGCTTATTTATTGCTAGTTGTATGATATAATGTAACTATTTTTGATGGAAAACTGGATATTTAACAAAGGGGCTAATTATGTAAATAAAGGGGTGAGTTCTGTAGTGGGCCAACAGTAAATTTCTCACTTGGGTGTAGAAGCATGCCACCAACCTCTTTACACTCAGCACTGATGTTTGCTGCAGCCACACAGCTGGAATCAATGTGTGTAAACAGAACTTTCTCTGGGGGACAGATACTTTGGATTACACAGTCACAGCTTACAGTAAACATTGCTTGCAGCCCTTTAACCACTTCTGCGCTGCCCTATAGCAGAAATACTGCTACAGGGCAGCACGGGTGTGCAAAATCACGTTTATATAGGTGATTTTTCATATCCGGGTAGGGGGAGCGTGCGAGTTGCGTGAGCCCTACCCATGGCGCAATTCGCAGCTGTGGCTGTCAATCACCAGGTTCCGGAGGGTGAATAATCGCCAGCGCCCAATGATTTCCAAGGATCTCCAATGTACAGCAGAGCCATCCAAAGCAGTGTGATTACAGTGAAGCACACTGACACAGCCCCCTAGTAAACACTCCCAGCACACAGTTAACTCCAGTTAACCCTTTGATCACCCTTCTTGCCAAGTGCCAATAGTACAGTGTCAGTGCTTTTTTTTTAGCACAGTGACACCAAGTCAGTTCCCCCAGTGTCAGAAAGTCGGCAGCAGTCCTGCTATAAGTCACTAATCGCCACCATTACTAGTATAAAAAAAAACCCCAAAAATTCCAGTATATATACTGCCATTTGTAAACGCTATAACTTTCATGTGAACCAATTAATTTACACGTATTGGGACTTTTTTTGGCAAAGACAAGTAGTAGAATACATTTTGGTCAAAATTTATGCCGAATTTTGATTTTAAAATTTTTTTTTTACTGGACATATTTAATAGCAAAAAGTTAAAAATATTGTTTTTTTTTTTTTAAACAAGTATAGCACAAAAAATAAAAAACGCACAGGTGATCAAATACCACTGAAAGAAAGCTCTATTTGTGGGAAAAAAGCACGCAAATTTCATTTGGGTGCAGCGTTGTATGACCGCACAATTGTCAGTTAAAGTAACACTGCGCCGTATTGCAAAAAATGGCCTGGTCAGGAAGGGGGGGAAATCCTCAGGAGGGCAAGTGTTTAATATATGTGCTTGGTATAACCTTTTACTATATGGAAAAGTACCCTAAGATGTTCTGTAACACTAGTCAGATATTTAGAATGTACTGTATGTGAATATATCACTTTAAATGAAAACTTGTATTTTCCCTTTAATAAACAATCTGAACTCACCTATGACCTTATACCTTATGACTTATGAGTAACATTGAGTTGTGCTTTTTTCTGTCACTGTCTATCATCCCCATCCGCCCCCATCTGCGCTAAACAACATATGGACAACTGTCTGTTAGAACACCT